TGGGATGAAGGAGAAATGAAGGGTGACTGCTAATAGGTATGGGATCTCTTTTGGGAGTGATGAAAATGTTCTGGAATTAGTGGTGACAACGCTCAACCTTGTGACTATACTAAAAACCACAGAACAGTACACATTAAAAGGGTGATTTGTATGGTATGTGAATTACATCTTTTAAAAAATGCTCCAAAAGAAATCAAGAAAACATTTACCTATGCTTCTTAACAATAAAGTCTAAAATATCCATTCAAAGAATTACTGGTTTCTACACACACATTAAATGTGCTTAAAATAAAATGCTTTACATTCATTAAGCTACGGTTAATTAAAATATGAAGTACTGGCAAAGGGACAATGGAATAGAATAAAATCTGTTTTCACAGACCCAAACCTATATGGGAATTTAGCATATAACAGGAGAAGCACTGCAGATTAGAGGAAAGGACAGAAAATTCAAAGAATGGTAATGGAAAAAATGGCTTATCTATATAGAAAAAAAAATTAGATCCTTACCATATAGTATACGACTCCAGGTGGATTAAAGACCAAATATAAAAAGTAAAACTTAAAAACTTTTAAGAAAAATCAAAAATATAAAACAGGAGTAGATCTTTATGAATTTAAGGTGGGGAAAGATTTCTTAAACAATACATAAAGAGTACAACACATAAAGGAAATGATTGATAAAATCATTAAAAACTATATGCCAAAAGACAACAGTGAAAAGACAAGTCCCCACACTGGGAAAAGATAAATGCAATGCATAAAACTAAGCTGGGTTCCACCCTCCAATTCTCTTCCAAATCTTCCCAGTTTTTGCTATGTTCATTGGCTCTGCCTTATTTCTCATCTGGATAAGAGCAATAGCTCTCAAACTGCTCTTCCTGCTTCCAAAGTTGCCCATCTCCAATTTCCTCTCTAGAGCACTGACAATACTTAAAAACAGAAACAAACAAACAAACAAAAAAACCCCTCAAATCTAATAACCCCCCATGGCTCTCCATGCTTTCGGATAAAAATCCAAAAAACAGAAGACCTTTCTTGATTTGGCCCCTGCCTACTTGTTCAGCCTCCTCTCCTGCTGCTTCAGCTTTCCCACCTTGCCCCGCACCAGTCTAGCATGTCCTCTCTTATCAACCACTCATCCTTATGATTCTATTCAGATGTGTTAACATATTCCAAGAAGCTTTTCCAAACCACCCCTTAAACATCACACACCCTCTGAAGCCAGGTCTAATACCCTCTTCTTCTGGCATAGTATCTACCTATACTCTACCATAGCACTTTACAGTAGTAGAGGACCATCCTGACCTAAAGTAAGGGGGGGGGGGTGTGTATCTGTGTAAGTGTACATGATCTCAAAACATTTGTGTAAGAAATAATAGTAAAATACTTTATTACATCAATTCTGGATACCAGTTGCTGTCTGTTAATTGCCATCTGTAGGCTCAGACAATGTTGGGCCAAGGTCATGCCAGCTCCTGCTTCCTTCCCATTCTGCTGCTGCTACAATGGGAATGAGACCAAAAGTTACAGCCAGGTTTTACCACCCCAACCTGTACAGGCTTCTCTAATAAAATAAATACTTATTGAGCATTTACAATTTACCAGACACTAGGCTAAGCAGTTAAGTTACAGGGATGAAAATATAGACATGGTTCCTGCAATCACACAGTTATATTATTACTGGAAACAGAAAAGCAATAAGGGAAAAGTGCAGGAGATGAGGTTCAGAAATTTTTCCTGGTAAGATTCATTTATCCATTTCATATCGAGTATCTATATTATGTTTAGTCCTGAGGACTAGAGATAAAAGATGAGCAAAAGAGAGTCCCTGCTGACATGGAGGGACAAGTAGCCTGGATGACAAAGAAAACATCCAGGTTGAAAAGCTAGTGGATGTGAGAACAGAGAGAGGATGCAGGGGAGTCAGACATTTCCAAGCTTAGGAAACAAAAAGTCCTAACCCGTGGGGAGGGAGAGGAGTACCTTCACTATATTAACCATTAACTTAAAAGGGTTTCAGTTAAGAACTTTCTTGGGTTCTCAATATCACAGCTTCCAAATGGTCTAGATTAGAAGGGCCTATCTTGATATGCTACAAAACCAAATTACAAGCATTTGTAATTTGAAATGAAAGCACACTACATTAATTCAGGGAAATAAAAAATTAGATACCAGAGAAAATGGAAAGACTTGAAGTTTATGTTGAGGATATGGGACTACTTCATCTCTGAATCCCCAGGCCAACTAGAGTGCCTGGCACATTATCAGTAAATAAATCAACTGTAAACAAAGGGGAGTATTAAGGGGCCACAGGATTGGATTAACAATTAAGATATTTTAATATAAACTAATAACCATTAAGTAATTAGTATTATTTAAATGCCACAGGCTATTTGTTAATAGCATGCAGTTAGAAAGGACTGTAGAGATTTGCTTTTTTCCTTCCTAAGAAAGGTCATCAGTAAAGTTAGAAAGTATCTGCACTATGATTATTTATATGTTCAACACAAAACTAAATTAGCAGCAGATTGAAAACACAAAACAAAATTTGCCACAATTATTTTTAAACTTTTCAAAAGTTTAGTATGTAACCTTATATTTTATCAAGTAATCTTTTCATTAGAATTAAATTAGAAGATATTTTATTAAGTACTAGAAATAGAGTATAAACACATCACACAAAGAAGTCACTGGCAGACAAGAAACTGTTCCCCAGGAAACTTTAAACACTTACATAACCACATTTAATATGAAAGTCACTACCGTGAATCTAATAGTTCTATAGGCACATATAAACTATTAATGTATTAGGGCTCTTATTTTCCAAAAACAGTAGGTACATTATGAAGTGAAGCTTTGCCTTTTGTTTCAGTGTGTAAAAACTGCAGTCACTACTAATGGAATTAAAAGAAACTGTCACAACATTATCACTCTTAAGCATAACACATGATAAATAAGAATCTGGAACTCTAATAAAATAACTTCCCTTTTTCTGAATCATTTATAGACTAATGCAAAACCTGTATTAAACACAAAATCAATTTATATTAGAATGCTAAGCTATATTTGAGGCATCTCTGAATAACTTCAGGGTTCAGAGAACTGCCAAATGTGTTCAGATGTCGGAAGTTTATATTTATCTTCCATTTCCAAAGCAAAGGGTAGCAGTGCCTTCTTCAGTAATGGAAAAACCACCAACCAACCAACTAAATTACAAAACTAGTTCATTTCCAGCAAAGGTACTGGGTATTTTTGCTATTAGGTATACAGCTTATTGCTGTATACCTAATCCCCTAGTACAGTAATTGAACGAAAAAGGCTGCTAAATGAATATAAGGATGGCTGAAGACAAAAGGAAATTTTAACTGTTCTACTAAATTTTCATTTCTAACCAAGTAATGAATATAGAAGAAAATATAGTTTGGCTGTCAAAAGCACAGCCCAAAATCACAGCACAGTATTTGCCATAACAGAACTTCAACTTCATAATCTTAAATTTCAACGTATCTTTTTTTGAAAACCTCATCTAACTGCGGTTATATTAATCTCTAAAATTACTAACATTTCCCAAGAGCATAATATGAGCTACCAAATCAAATTTGGTCTTCAGTATCTGGACTTTATATAACTCATTGATGAAGAAGTGATCCAAAATTCAAATACATGACTGAAAATTAGACTAAGAAGGCAATACATTTACTGATGAGTTCACACTCTTAAACGAGTTTTTCCAGCCTCAGCACTACAAACATTTTAGGCCTAATAATTTGTTATGGGGGGCTGCCACATGTGGGCTAAGATGTTTAGCAGCATCCTGGCCTCTACCCACTAGATGCCACTGGTACCACCTGCCAGTAATAACAATCAAAATGTCTCCAGACATTGGCAAATGTCTCCTTGGAGGGCAAAATCATCCCAGGGTTGGGAACCACTGCCCTAAAAGGATGTTTGCTAAAATGTAAATGTTGACTATCTTTGAATGGAATTATGGATGAGTTCTATTCTTTTTGCTTTGCCTTTTGCTTCTCTATATATTCTACAATGAACATATGAAATTTTTTCAAAAGAAAATTTACAACTCATTAATTACAGACCAAGGAAATACTCATATTTTTTCAGTTTGTATCCTATTTTTAATGACAAATATACACAGATGATTTCCTGAATATGAAATATTTTTGACTATTCAAAATGTTAAAACTACAAAAACTCAGAATAGATCCAGATTTTAATCTATATAACAATCTCTCTGAAAATTTCAAATAAAAAATGTTTTAAAGAAATTTCAAATAAAACAAAATTATTTATTTATTTATTTCCCCTCCTCTTTAATTCCCTCCCCTCCACTTCCACCCCTGACCTATGGATGTTGCTGTTTCCCCCTTAAGAACTGGATCTCTGAAGGCGGGGCGTCTCCTCCCACATGCTCACTGCGTGCACACCCACCGGGGCCTGGCACACCCAGGGTATGGTCCGTGGCTCCAGCTGGGGCGCAAATCCAGGACCTTCTGTGTGTAAAGCAGATGTGCTAACCACTACTCTATGGAGCCACCCCCAAAACAACAGTATTTATTCAGCACTTAAGATGGGATGTTCCAAGTACTCTACAAGTATTAGCTCATTTAAATCTCAGAAAAAAATTGGTAAAGTGGACACTATTATCTCCATTTTACAGTTAAGGAAACAGAAGAAAAGACAGGTTATGTGACTTGTCTAAGGTCACACAAATAATAAGTGGTAAAACCAGGAGTCAAACCCCAGTGGTCTTGCTTCATGACCTGCATTCTATTACATATTGTCACTGACCACTGAACCACTTTTCTGTCATATCTGTTTTAATTCAGAAAGGCAAGACACTGCTTCAAAAAAAAAAAAACAATCCCTATCACTACAACTAAAAAGCCAGTATCTTCAACTTGTGTAGAGGCTGTGATACAGAATAATGTTTTCCCACCAAATGCCCACATCCTAACCCTTAGAACCTGTGAATATGTTACCTTATGTGGCAAAAGAGACTTTGCAGATGTAATTAAGGATCTTGCAAACGGAGAGAGTATCCTAGATTATCCAAGTGGGCCCAGTGTAATCACAAGGATCCTTTTAAGTGAAAAAGGGAGGGAGAAGAGTCAGAGTCAGAGATTTGAAAATGTTATGCTGCTGGCTTTGAAAATAAAGGATGGGAACATAAGCCAATGAATGCAGCCTGCCTCTAGGAGCTGGAAAAGGTAAGGAAACAGACTCCCCTAAGGCCTCCATAAGGAATGCAGCCCTAACACCTTGATTTTAGCCCAGTGAGACCCATGTTGGACTTGACATCCAGAACTGCAAGACAATACATTTGTGTTGTTTTAAATTTTGTTTTGTTTAAACCACTAAATCTGACATCATTTGTTAGATGAGCAACAGAAAATACAGAGGCTTCTCTGAAAGCATTTCCAAACACACATTTTGTCTTCTTCAGTTCCACTAACATCCCTATAAAGCATACAAGAGGGAGGTGGGGAATTCTCTTAGATTCATTAATCTAAGTTTGGAGAACCTGAAACAGAAATATCACTTTAAAAAGTCTTACCCCATCACAACAAAAATAGTCCTATCTATGGATACAAACATGCTAATGTGACCTATAATTTGTCCCTGGACAGCCAGAAAAAGCCATTAGATTTTAATTGCTGGTAGAGTATTCCTGTCACCTTTTACATATACAGAAAAAAATGAAATGATTTCTTCCCATTTTGTTGGTAGAGTCACCACTGTTTTCTATGCTCCAGAGTTTTTTTCATTCTAGCCATATATGTGATACAAATAACAAAATGTCAGTAACGCTGTTACCATGCATGACATAATATGTTATGGGTCCTTTTATTACTAAAATACTTAGTGTATTTAAGACTTTCAATTTCTAACAACCAAAATCTGAGTCACATTGGATTTTGTGAATGATTTTCACAAAAACATGTAGGGGGAAGAAAATTTGCAGTGGTAAAAACAGCACTATGGTAAGAACCACTTTTCAAAATCTAATTATTTAAACATATAATAGTCATAGTTAAAAAAGAAAAGCCTCTTATAGCCACCCAAAAGAATTATATTAAGCCAATATTTTTTCTAATGAGTAACCTCTGTGGAAATTTATTTTGTAAAGGTAAATAATGTATAAGTTCCCTAAATAAAAAGGCTTTCATTCACATCTTAAAACACTGTTTAACTATTTAAGAATATGTATAGTAATAGATAAGTAAAAATAAAATCCTTTATACACTTACCATGTTGGCATTTGAAAATCAGAAATTAAATCACCTAATTTACTATAAGAGAATAGTTGATCTCCAACTACTCTCAGATAATTCAAACCAATGCCAGCCAAATATTGCTTATATCAGGGGTCCATAACCCCCAGGCCGCAGACCAGTATTGGTCCTACTGGGCCGCATAGCAGGAGGTGAGTGGCAGGCAGGTGAGCCAGTGAAGCTTCATCTGTATTTGCAGCCACTCCCCACCTCCACCCCAGATTATCAGACATTAGATTTTTATAGGAGCACCAGTCTCTGGTGTCAAAAAGTTTGGGGACCGCTGGCTTATATGACTTTAAGTGACTATGTCTGCTACACAGTGAGGTCCATTCATAGACATAAGTCAAAACAACACACTGGAAAATTAGGAATTGGCAATTCTTTCCATTCCAACCAATGGCATACAAATGACTTTAAGTAAACCCTTTAATCGCCAAGAGGTTAGGAAATGAGGCTGAATAATCAAAAACTGACCACAGAAATACTTTCTCACATTTTTGTCTTTTTTGTCAGTTTTATCATGTTTTAGGTGGACAGGATTTAGTTACTACATAAGTGTATGTCCAGACAAAAGTTTGTTTGCTTTTAAAAAAGAGTTCCCAGAGAAATGTTTCTATACAAAATCATTCTTAACTAGTCACCATAAATTACCCACACCAACACCGCCAAGTAAATAATTTTCTAAGTAAATAATCAAAAAGCTGAGTCTCACCTTGCCTATTCCCAGACTCCAAGTGGCATGTTATTCCAGATATATATCTTATTCCTCACAGAGTCCTTTTGTTTTGTTTTGTTTGTGACATGGTTCATTACTGAACACCAACTATGTACCAGACCCTGTTCTAGGTCCTGGGAAATCAAAGGAAATGAGATTCTGGTCTCATGGAGCTTAAATAAACAAGAAAATTTCAGATAGTGTTAAGCTACTAAAACAGGGTAATATGATACAGTGACTGGTAGGCTAGATTGTTATAAAAAGGACTAACAGAATCAAAACCAGAAATTAGTCTTATAGAAAGACTGGAGGAAAACAAGTGAAGAGGTGATCGATCATCAGGCACATCGAGTTCTCTTTGTTTCAGAGGCTTCTGAGGTATGGCTATAGCAAAAAGATTTAAATAATAGTTTAGTCAAGTATTCCATGTAATATAAAAGGCATAAGATTTAAATATTATTTAACCATAACTACTCCAAAATACTACAGAAATGAAATTGTTTCAGTCAGTAGTCTATGTAGTCTGTTAATAACTACATCGATTAAAAGAATTTTTAAAAATATTTTAGCTTTCAAATAACTATTACTAAGTTGTTTCCTGTGAATGAATCTACTAAAATAGTAAGCATTTTGGGAAAATGAGATTTAAAAAACTCAAACCCACAAAAACACAAATACAGTAATCACAAGAGCAATGAATGTGAAAATATGTCTACTACTTAATTCTTTCCCTTCACTAAGAATATCTAAATCTGTGCTAGCCACATGTGGCTATTTAATTTTGAGCCAATTAGAATTAAATAAAATAAAGTTTTAGTTCTCAGGCCCACTAGCCACATTCCAAGTATTCAATACCCACATGTGGCTAACGGCTACTATAATGAACGGCACAGACGCAGAGCATTTCCATCCCTGCAGATAATGTAAAAAAATTTTCAGATTTGATCTAAACATCCCCAAAAAGCTTGTAAAAATAAGGTTAATCAAACTTTTTAAAGAAATTGGTGAAAAGTATTCTGAAGCTAGAAGGAAATCACATAAAAAAGACAGAGTCAGATCAACCTGGGGACAAGCAAAAATGTACTCTGACATTGGTCTTACAGTCATGAGACTGTAAGTTCTGATTCTACCTCTAAGTTAGCTGCATGAATTTTGAAGAAATACATCTTTGGGATTTCATTTAAATCCTATAAGAGAAGTTAAATCAGGTGATCCAGATAACCTGAAATGACCTCAAAAAATGGGAAAGTAGGTTGTGATTCCTCCTAGTTATTAATATATATATATGCATGGTTTGGATTTGCATTCTGACAAGAATATATATGGTTTAAAAAATTAACTTTAATGTCTTACTTGCCATATTAACATTATTTAAAGATGTTCATTTTTGCAACAGCAAACAGTTACATGAAATTCACAACCAATACCTATTTACATAAATAAGATTTTAGGAGGTAAAATCAGTATGATGACCATATTTCTCTCTATAAAATTCTCTAAGTAAATAATCAAGGTGTGTTACAGAAGTGGCACATTGCCTTCTAATTTTTATTTTAAATATTTTTGAGTTTATGCTACTAATAATAGAGCACTACTATTTTTAAAAGCATAATTGTACTACTCCAAAATTTGTTTAACTCTGGAGTGTTGTCTCCCAAAATATTTTCTGAAACTTTCACTTAAAAATCTTCTACTAAAAATGTGTTAAGAGAAAGATAATGGTCAAAGACATTAAAATATCCTATATTAGGAAGTGACCTGCATGAAATGAACCACGATTATGAAATATAAAAACAAACAAAACTGTATCTTATTTCATTTAACCAGAAACCCTATCACTAAATACCATCATACAATTTTCACTTGCCTATGATTCCATTAAGTTATACAACATTTTAGGTTGCTTTGTAGTTCTTATTTTTTCCTGGCTAAACCAAATTACTATTGAACTGCCTTGTATCAATACGAAACTTACTAATAAAACATATTATTTCCTTTATCTATTTGGTTTAACTTCAGCTGTCTTCTCTTTGTTCTTGACCACACCTGTCAACAACAGACATGGTGTTACCACTTGAAGAAAATTTACATTATTTTCCAATCTCTTACATCAAGGGTACTAGCTCATACTGAAAATTATTACAAACTAAGTAATTTATATCAGTCATCGTGTTCCATGCACTATGAAATCTAGTAAACTAACAAATTCATCCACATATTTTCCTACCTCTTTCCCCAACAAACTTTTAAACTATAATGGTTTCTAAGATTGGTTTTGCAAATGTTCAAATTTTACTTTCTTGCCCCTTGTATTCTCCATTCCCCATAGCAAGATATAAAGAGAATGCATTACAGAAATGACATGTAGTTTTTAAAGTATTAAGCACTTTAAAATAATAATTTACTAAGTTTATCTTTCCTATAAAAAAGACCAGTTTTTTTTGTTAATCAGGTTTATCACTTTAGCATTTTAGGTTCAATTATATTAAACATTTCGTTTTCAAATAAGCAGTAAAAGTTAGAACAAAAGTTAACTTCATACTCTATATTCAAAATTTACATTATCACCTATTGCTTAATCTGAACGCTAAGTATTGGTGAAGCTATAGTCATCATGCTGTTACAACAACAGTGGAAGTAAATTTAGACTGGAAAGTTAACTTCATGTTCATACTTGTACCAGTATGAATATGACCAACTGAGAAACATCCACATAACCCAAAGATTCCGATGAAGCATTAGTTAACATTCAACTTTTAATTTCTATAAAAGTGAGTTTAGGCCAAATGACTTTCTTTTTCATCCATTAAACATGCAACTAAAAATTAGTTCATTTTGCATGCGTTATTTTTCTTATATTAAAAAAAGTCATTTATTATCAGCTATATGCCTAGTATAGTTCTAGGCACACTCTTGCACTTCTAATTTGGATCCCCATAACTCTAAAAAGTAGTCATTTTCATCTCTACTTCAGAGTTAAGCACACTGAGCTTCAGTGGTAAAAGGTACAATGGGGATAGGAACTGTTTCCTTGACTCTTGCCCTACACGCCACTGAGTTAAAAAAAAGAGAGAGAGATGTTTTGTTAAATGGCTTAAAGCAAACAGAACTGTCCAGGTGAAGGTCAGTTAGAGCAAAGCAAACCTCTCTTAAAAAGACAACTGTACTTTCTATAGAAGGACAAGTTTGCTACAGTTAATTATATAGGTTTAACATTTCTATAAACTAAGAACATTATTTAACATTTTCTAAACTAAGATATTTCTAAATAAAATCTGTATGAAAAGAAACATTTTAAATCACATGCAACACTCTCAATAAAGGCATCTTCACTAGACAGCAGAATGATTTTATAATTTAAAAAATCTATTTCATAAGCTTAAACTTTGTCAGGTTTTCTTAACATAGGAAATATGAACAACTTTTCATGACTCTAAAATCTCACTCATAAATGGATATAAAGTATAAATATCTCAGTCAGTCATATCTCAATAAAGGGGAAATAAAAAATTTAAAACTAAATGATAGTGATTATAAAGTATACATTACACAAGTATATATCACACAAACTGTGTGTTCTTGTATTTTGTACTGCACTTGAAAAACCAAGAACAACTGCAATTTTTAAAAGCAAAGCCTTTCGGATACTGCTGGGAGTTTAAACTGGTTCAAACCTTTCTGGAAAAGTTCTAAAATCGATTGCGATGATGGTTGCACAATTCTGTGAATATACTAAAAACCACTGTATTGGGTACTCCAAATGGGTAAATTGTATGGTATGTGAATTATTTCTCAATAAAACTGTGATTGAAAAAAAAAAAAAAAACTTTCTGGTCTACAGCCATGCAACCCTAAACATGCCGGATCTCATTTGATCTCAGAAGCTAAGTAGGGTCAAGCCTGGTTAGTACTTGGATGGGGGACCACCTAGGAAGACCAGGTGCTGTAGGCATTTAAAAAAAAATACTTTCTGGAGAACAAATTGGAAATGTTTCAAAAGCTTCTGAAATGTTCATATGTTTTAAGTAATTCTACTTTCATAAATTTACTGTAATAAAATAATCATAGTTTTTTAAAATGTATAAAGATGTTCATCAAATTATAATATCCCCAAGTTGCAAACTGCCTAAAATGCCATCGATAGAATAGTAAACAGATATAGCATACCCTTACAATGCAATCTATGTCAATTTTAAAAATCACATTCTCAAAAAAATTATTTCACAATAAAGCATTATAAAATATTAATATACGATTCTAATTTATAAAAGATATATATATACACATAAGAAAAAACACTAAGATTACAGAACAAAATGTTAGCAGTAGTTATACTTCCATTTGGTACAATTTCAGGTGATTTTAATCTTTATATCTTACTGGTTTTCAATTTCCCTTCAATTAACAATCCTTTCATAATTTAACATAATTAATGTTATTTTTAAACAAGTGGTCACTTTGGAAAGTTCGATTTTCCATTAAAAAATAAAAACAGGGCCATCAGCATTTCTTAAGAGTAGTATGTATGTATGTATATGTATGTATATGTGTGCAATACCTAACCTCAATATCTCAGTACCTTAACTAATTCTGTCGCCCAATAAAATACATTCTAATAATCGAGGCTTAATTTACAGGTGATAATGATACAGAAACCATGAGAGGAACAAAAGCATATTAACTCTATACACAAAGCCAAACTACCTAATTTAGACTTTTAAAATAATATCAAATCATGTTTGCGTCCACATTTAGGAAAACTCAACATCCTTGCAAGGGAAAAATTAGCAAAAATATATATTTAACTATCAGCCAGAATAAAAAGAAATATCATTCTATTGCATTGTGGAAAGCAATTCAAGGATACAGTAAACCACAGCAAAAATCCAACATAAAATATTATATTCTAATGTTATTTGGATCCTGCTGAGATCATAAAGGAGGCAGCTTAAAGTGACAAAATTATAATAACCAAAAAAAGGCTTTAAATTTATATATACAGAGGTGTTATAAAAATGTTTCTCAAAGTCTATACTGCAGTTTTATGCAAACAGACTCTATTCAGCAGGTGGCGGGTGGGGGAATTTTTCAACTTTTTCTGCAATCAAAATCCTTGAAAGTCAACATTTAACCT